TTGAAGGTGTGGTGAAGCGAAGCTGTTGGTTGCGGCTGTTAACCTGTTGAGAAGATGGCAAAATCCGAAGTGAATATATTTAGGTGCTTAGTTCGCTACTCTGTGCTACCTCTAAGCCTGTCCTTCTAGATCTTTCTAGAAGCTTCTTAATGTAACCTTATCTATCTAGACCAATGATGTCCGTAATCAGCATCCGTGATCATCTACATGCATTCAGCGGTGTAATTTTCACAAGGATCGATAATATTAGTAGCAACGATACAGGCTCGGACAGCAAGAACGTCTATAAGCTACAGCCTACAGGACAATATCCGATTTACAAGGATATCAGTGACTGAGACCTTTGATGTCGAGGTCATCGAACTCAGCCTTGTTGGGATAGATAAACACAGCTTTGATCTGGGACCTCCGGAACTATTCTCTGTTGGAACGGCAGTTATTTTTTTTTGTATGGAACGTTTATCTGGATTTGAGCATGTTCGAAATGACTCAGGATGATGGGTTATCAGGATAAATCCGTGGACCACAAGTAGAAAGACCAGGCCTTAGAATGGTCGATTCTTATCACAAGGCAATGTTTCAACCGGATCAGCAGCACCGGGTGACGTGCCCACCGTGCAAACAAAATTTCATATTCTTTTGCAATTATTAACTAAGTCGCCCAGAAACTCCTGCGGATGACAATCTGAACTCACTACATTAGACACAAGCTCATGTACAGCCTAACATACTATCACCGAAGGGGTATGAAGAATTTTCGGCAGCATAACACACTTGATATAAACATATTCCGAGGAATCGATGGGCTTTTCATGCGTCACGGATGACTCCGACAACGGACTTAAAGACCGCTAGATCTCGGATCCTTCTACGCTCTGCGAAATATTTCTAATCTCCCCAGACTATGGCAGCAGCCATGGTGTACATTGAACATTCTACCTAAAAGTGAACCTCTCTTTGGTCATTAGTCATCACCGGCAAGGGTCAGCTCTCTCTTGGCAGGCTCTCTTCTGTGCAAGGGTCTCAGCATACATCCAAAACGGAGATGAGTCAAACCAAAATGACCTCTTAGCTTTCCCATCGCAATACATACCCAGCGTCTCTCAGAGCAGCGTTGCTGTTCTAAAGCAGTGTCGCTTAGCTACATAAGGTGTTAGAGGAATGCTCTGCCTGCAACACATCTGACTAGCTTGTATGAGCGGAATAGTGATATGTATTTAGAAATCGTATGTAAAACGTGTCATGTGCTCGCATTTTTATGAAGGCTTTAGAGTATAGATCAATTCCTTTAGAATGTAGCGTGGTCGCAATTAGGTGTCATCCATCGCAGCCACACCATATGTAAGTAGCTTGAAAACGTTGAGAAAATCTTTCACCTTATGACATAACTAAAAAATAAAGTTCTGAGCCTCTGACATCTGCAGGTTGCCCATAGACATCTTGATTAATAGCTTTGACGTCACACACACCTTGCGCTCGACGCTCAAACGCATTGAAATACAAACCGCTTATTATGCTTCAAAGTATAGTCGGGCTCATTTTAGCAGATCAAGTTGATTTGCAAGCTCTCCCATCTCTAACACCGCAGTCATTGTCGAAGGAACATATTGGATATCCAAATCATCGATTGAAAATCTCGTGGCGATGTTTAAAGCAAAAACTCAATATGTATAGTGAATCGATGGAGCAGCGCGAATTCTCTTTGCAAGAATATCTTTAATTATCAATTTCTCTCGCTTCGTTCAACCATCCATTTGTATATTGTCAGTTGTTGACTTACCCAGTTGGGGGCGGGCACCTTAACAATATTCGCTTACGATAGACACTTCCGGCAAGCCATATTTCCAAAAATCTATGTTGATAAGCAGCGTGGAGCCCCACGGTCTATTGCATTGTTGACAGCTAGATAGATACACCGTCTGTTGAGTAGTGGAAGGCAAAGGCCAAAGTGAATTATTAGCAGCTACACAATCTACCCTTTCTACATATCTGTAATTACCTTTCTGTGTGCCCTTCTTGTTCCCTGTTCCTTGGTAGCAGCCGCTATCGAGCTTCTCCCTG